GGATGGAGTCTCCATTCCAAGTGGTCGACTTGAGATCAACTCAACCAGTCAGCCTGGGAGTTGTCGACCCCCGAAATATGGTCCGCCCTGAGAGACAGGCGGTTCCTCTCCGCCCATCTCCCCAGATGTTCTGCCTCCCGCATCAAACCCCTGGATCTGGTCCCTCCTTGCCTATTGACATGAGCCTTGGCTGCTATATTGTCTGTCATGACTAGCACATGGGACCCTGACACTAGGTTCCAGAAACTTCTCAGGGTGAGAAAAATAGCCCTGAGTTCCAGGAGATTGATGGGAAGGGACCTGTCTGAAGATGGCCAGTGTGCTTGGGCCATGTAGTCCTGGGTATGTGCTCCCCAGCCGAGAAGGCTGGCATCCATGGTCACTACAATTCTGTCTCTCACCATAAAGGGATGACCCTTTGAGATGGCCTGGGACTGCCACCATCGAAAGGACTGAAGCACCTGTGGAGAAAGCAGCACCCTGTGGGCAGAATAACTGATCCCCTCTCTTTGGAAGGGGAGGAGGAACCACTGCAAGGTGCGTGCGTGTAGGCACAACTTCAATGCAGGAGATCATCTTCCCAAGCAACTGGGACAGGAGGGAGAGTGGAATGGAGTGACTTAGTTGAATTCTGTTGATCAACTCTTTGATGCTGTCCTGACGGTCCTGTGAAAGGAAGACTTTGCAGCTGACTGTGTCGATGATGACCCCGAGGCGCAACAGTCGGGTCGTTGGAGAAAGATGGCTCTTGATCAGGTTGATGGAGAAACCATGTTCCTGCAACACCTGCTTCGTGATTTGAAAATCTTGTTCGGCTGCCTGGACAGAGGAAGATTGAATCAGAATGTCATCCAGGTAGCATTGGACCCTCATAGGTAAGGCTCTGAGGAGGGCTGCCAATGCTGCCAGGACCTTAGTGCTGATGAAAGGCTATTGGTAGTGCTCACTGCAATAAGAAAAACGGAGGAACTGGCGATAGAGAGGCCAAATTGGGATATGGAGGTAAGCCTCCGTGAGGTCTATGGAAGAGAGGAGATTGCCCTCTCGGACGTTCTGAAGAATAGAATGTAGGGTCTGCATCTTAAAACGCCTGTATGGGATGAATTTGTTCAGGAGCTTGAGATCGAGGATTGCTCTCCACCCCCACAAGGCCTTCAGGATAACAAAGAGGCAGGAGTAGAAGCCCGACCCCCACTGATCCCATGGAACTCTTTCTATGGCTCTGATGTCCATCAGGTGATGGATAGCTGAGTCCATCAGGGCCCGTTTAGATGTGTCACGAGTGGTAGGACAGCTGACAAAAAACGATGCAGGGGGGGGGGACAGAAATTCGAGTTGAAGGCTCAATCATATTCTACTGATGACTCAGGCATCGTTAGTTGATTTCTCCCATCTGGATTTTAAAAAGGTCAAACAACCTCCAATGGGAGGGGAGTGAATGCAGTTACTTACAGCGCCTGAGTGAACGACCTCCTCCCCCTCAAAAGGGCTGCTTACCCGAGAATTGTTGTTTGGGTTGGCGGTCCTGCTGTTGTTCCCAACGAGGGGGATACGTTGTCTGGTTGCGACTGAAGCAAGGGGTATTGACTGGCCTGAAGGTTTGTGTTCTGGGGTATGTGGTTTTTTGAAAATCTGATCCTTTGGAGGAAGTAGACAACACCTTTCTCTTGTCTCGTGTTTCCACCACATACGGCTCTAAGGCTGCTGCAAAGAGGTTTTCTCCTGAGCAAGGGGCCGCCGCCAATTTCCACTTATGCTTGGAGTCGGTCTGCCAGTTGCGCATCCACAGCAGGTGCCTGGCAGACACGGAAGAGGCCATTGCCTTTGTGGCAAATTTGGCGGAGCTTAAAGTGCCATTGGTGGTGAACTCGGCTGCTGCTATTATTTTGTTGAGGTCCTGGTGGGACCTAACATTGGCAATGGGTACTCTGTCCTGAAGTTGACGCAACCAGCAAATAGACGACCTGGTAAAAAACGACCGGTGGAAGCTTTCACGGCCCAAGCTGTGGCCTGTGCGCTTCAGAGTTTGTTCCAACTTTTTGTCCTCCGGTTGTAAAACATCCTCCAGTTCCATAGGGGTACCTGAGGAAGTGAAGGTGGCTACCACTGGGGAATCTACTGCTGGGAGAGCTAATGCATTAGCCAAGGCGGGACCTACATTAAAGAACCTTTTGTCCTGGGAAGAAGGGTGAGGCCCTGACAGGGGGTTCTCACACTGGTCCTTTACTACATCCAAGAACAACAAGGGAGATGGGAGAACCTCATTTCAGACCACCAGTTTGGAGAATAGTGTGTCTCCCTGGCTCGAGGGGCCAGCCTGTGGTTCCGGGGCCAATTCTTCTGGGCTTAACTGGGGTGTAACCAGAGCCTTCTGTAGTAAGGGCCGAAACAAGGAGGGCTTAAAGACAGCAGTTGTGGATGGTTGTTCTGGTTTGGTTTCCTCTTCGTCGGAGAGGAAGGGGTCTTTAATTTCCCCCTCTTCCTCCTCTGAGGAACTACCCTGTTCAGAGTGGTAAGAGGATCCCCTGTCATCCTGTCCCTCCCAGCTATAAAAATGATGAGGGGCATACATGGGTTCCGAAGTGGGAACCTCCCTCCATGGGGGAGGGTTACCCTGACTGAAGGAAGAAAGGATACCCGAGCCTCTGCCCAGGGGGCAGAGGTGTTTGAGACCTTCAGCAATGCCCTGTTTGACTGCCACCAAAACTACTTCCTGGATGTCTTGAGGCCTGTTCTCCTGGGGAGGAACTATCATCTGGGGCCCAGTCACAGAAGGGATAAGGTTAGCTTGCTCCCTAAACCTGTAAACCCCTAGGGGCAAAGCCTGCTGAGGGTTAGGTGTAGCTGTGTTACAAGTAGGTGTCCACAAGAAGGGCCTGACAAACTCAGGTCCTGGAGAAGGGCCTCATCCTGCCTTTCAGGTGACCAGTTCCATAGATGGTTAGCCAGACTTCCATCTGCCCTCTCTGTGCCTGCAGCTTGTTCTTGTAATTGTTGAGCATTTTTTGTGAATTGTTTCTCTAAAGCCTCATGTCTTCTCTTTTCTGCCCTGAGTTCAGACTTGGAAGCCTTCTTGAGGGCTAGGGCCCTGGCCTTGATCTTTGCTGCGGCCTCCCTGTTGGCTGAACGGCCTTGTGGTCGTTTTCTTTTCATAACCCTTTTGGGGGCTTGAGAGGTCTGAATGCTCTGCATGCCTGATGGTCCTTGGCAGGACCCAATCTATTTCCACTGCTCAGGGAAGAAACATCGGAGGTGCTGTCAGCTCCTTCTGATGGTGTTTTCTGAGCTAAATGGCCAGGGGGGAGATAGGATCACTGCCTCGGGGCCCAATAAAAAAATGGCACCCGGACGAACTCAATCACAAAATGGCCGCCAGCCACAAGGCAAGGAGCCTTGAGGCCTTCGATGATCCCTGTTGCACCTGTGAATCCCTGGGGCTTTGTGCTGTGGCCTTTGTTTGGCAATTTATAATAGCCGGATTAATATCTTTGCGGAAGGAAGATTGCCCCTCCAATCGATGCAGCAGTAGAAGGGAGGTTGGTTGGGATCGGGCTATTGTAAAACTTTGATAGTTTATGGCCTAATAAATTTTCCGGAAGACTTGTGCAGCCTCGGGAGGTTTTTACAAGCCGTGCGGCCCAGGGAAAAGCTGCATAGGAGGCTGTTGTGATGTTAATTAGCCTCTAGCAAGTCTGAGGGAGGTTCCGCGGCATTTTGGCCGATCGCACTTACTGTCTGCGTGTCAGTGCCTTGCTGAGCCAGTTGCAACTGGAGGAGAGCGGATCCCCGCTCTCCTCGTGAGTGAAGCTCTACCAGAGCCCTGAGAGCTTCTCTCGATTTTGATGATTCTTTTTTTCTTTGTTTCAATGCTTTTGTTTTGAGGAATGCTAATTAACTCAGAGTCCAGAGACAATAACTCATATGTCCAAGAGCTGAGTCAAAAAGCTGGGGCTCTCAGCAGAGGCGAACCTTTTATAGTGGCAGACTCAGCTCATGTCATAAGAGGGCAGAGTTACACCCAATGCTGGACTCTAGAGCAGCATGACAGAGAAGGAGCGGGCGGGCGACCGCAAAATAAGGCATTCCTGGAAAATAAGACCTAATGGATCTTTTGGTCCAAACAAAATAAGATCTGGTCTTATTATCTGGGAAACAGTACTCTCCAGATATCCCAAAATTTGATTTCTGTTTCTTAAGGAGGAACTTTGGATTTTTCTCTATTCACCTTATTATTTTTAACCAGTTTATCTATTCTAACAAAATCATTTTTAATGTTCTTTCTACTTTTTAAGGTATTAGCAATAGCACTTAGATTTATATACCACTTCACAGTGCTTTTACAGCCCTCTCTAAGCAGTTTACAGAATCAGCATATTGCTCCCAACAATCTGGATCCTCATTTTACCCACCTCGGAAGGATGGAAGGCTGAGTCAATGTTGAACCTGGTGAAATTTGAACTGCCAAATTGCAGTTAGTCAGCATAAACAGCCTGCAGTACTGCATTATAACCTCCGCACCACCGTTGCTCGTATTATCTCTCTTACCCAATTTCTTGTGATATGGATATCTGAGGGAACATTCCAAAAACCCTGAATATCAAGACATTTTTTTCCTATGTTGGCAGGGAGGTATTTTTCAGATCAAAATGAATCCAATTCTACAAAGTATCAGGGATAAGTAGCCTACAGATTACAGCCTTTTTTTATATCGTATATTGATATAACTTTAAATGCCACATTTTTGTAATTCTCCCAGAATGGAATGGAAGAAAAAGATTGTGTGTCTCAAGAGAAAGTTTGAAACTGGGTGGGAGAGAGGAATCTATAACCCATAAATGCAGTGCACAAAACTGAGATACAAGGTTCTTGCAATTAATTCCTTCTTTTTTCTGCCATATGATTATTGGAAGTATTGATTAGTGCCTGATTATATACATATATTTATTAATTAACTACAGAGTCTCATTAATCCTGGGATGGGTAAGCAAAGATGAACTCACCAGTGATGTACAGGAGGCAGGGTGGTTATATGGATACCACCAGACGGTCTTGTAAATATTAATATATTGAATGAAAAGAGACACCAGCAAGTAGATGAAAAAGAGGAATTCAAATAGAAGGTTTCCATCCACAGGGAGCTCTGGGATTCGGCAGTGCCTCACAGGCTCAGGAGTAATCAGGGCAGTGATAGGAGGAGCAGAAAGACTGAGAGTACTACCATTCCTGAAACCAAACATAATTGTTACCCATTGGTTGAACAACGGTATTTAACATTTAGATGTTAAATTGTTTATTAGTTTGATTACAATAGATCCATAGATTTACAACAGATCGTTAAAAATCCAGTAACATAGGTTAATGTAATCAACAGTCATATGGAGATGTAAAGATTCTGCCATAAAATTTATGGACAATATACTGCATCTTCTGATTAAGTTTTCCATTACACAAAGTATTAACTGGAGATTTAGGAATTCCATTTTTTCCTAGTAACAGTAGTTTAGGTTTCAGATGCCTCTATTGCATCAGGCCCAAACTGTTAAGTCGGAAGATGTTTTAGCTAAATATACAGGCATTTTGCAATTGCAGGCAGCCCAATTTTTTTTTGCAAAACTGATTAACAAACTACCTATGAAAGTTATATAAATTTTCCTCCCTCCCCAAAATAGAAACAATTTGAAAAACTAAACTGTCCACTTACATTACTGTCTGTCTATTGGAGCCTTCAATCCAGGGGTGGGATTCTATCTGGTTGGACCGGTTGTATAGAACCAGTTGTTACAATTCTGCACAGTTTGGAGAACCGGCAAATCGCGTCACTGACTGATCCCTCCCCTCCCACTCCCACTCCCTGCTTACCTGGCATGCGCGCTATCCAATTTGCCTGCCTTATGCCTTCTCCTAATTTTTGGTAAGTTTCTATTTTCCCCCTGATCATCAGCTGTTCCGACTATCAACTGTGACGGGATACTTAGATTAGCTAGAAAGCAGGAAATCATTGGATTTCTTGCTTTCTAGCTAATTTAAAAGCAGAGCTGAACCTTCCTTAGGACTGAAGCTTCTATTTTTCATTGCAGACTCAGGCAATAGATTGCAGAAAGGTAGATCTCTGAGTGAAACTGTGATTCTATGAGCAACTCAATCTGCCTGCTGCTTTGCCTGATTTTGGGTAAAAGTTGCTCTTTTTTTAATAAAAAATTCAATATTTACATACATGGTGTGTTGTGAGTTAATTTTGTGAGTTTGCCTGCTTGCAAATTTTATGAGTTTGCTTGCAAGCAAATTTTATGTGACAGACTCAGGCAATAGATTGCAGATAGATAGATCTCTGAGTGAATCTGTGATTCTGCAAGCAATTCAATCTGCCTGTCTGCTTTGCCTGATTTTGGTAAAAGTTGCTTTTTAATAAAAAATTCAATATTTACATAAATATTTACAAAATTTACATACAAGCCACGCCCAGCCAGTCACGTGACCACCAAGCAACAAATTAGGTCATGCCCACAGAACCGGTTGTTAAGAAATTTGAATCCCACCCCTGCTTCAATCCCTTCAAAAACATGAAGTTAGACCCCAGACAATAAGGCTGTCCTGCTCTGGTCATACTAAGATGAATAAGGTATCATAACAATACGCTAAACACAAGGCAAAAGCCACCGTTAAAAATCAAGATTATGGACAAATTATCAATGGCTGATACTCTTTTGGACATAACAATATCTAGTGATAACAGGGAATAAATAGATTTAGAAGTACAATGTTTACCTATTTCTCAGACCTGTTCCGTTGCCACAGTTCCCACCAACTAATGTCTGAAGAGAAGGCAAAGCTGAACGGCTTAGTTGCTGCCGGCTGGGTCCCCTCCTTCCACCGGGCATGACCAGGAAGCAATCCACCTTTTCCACCTCTGGCACTTTTTGCCTTGATTCTTATGTAACAATTTTCCAATTCTACAAATGAGAAAGAAGCAAATTATGCAACAGAACCTTCTAAAACAAAGGAAAAGCTATTCATCATATACACTTTGCACAGACAAAAGCAATAATTAAAAGTAAATATACTTTTAGGAAAGATCAAAAAGGAACAATTTTAAAAAGATGCTGAATGAGTTTTTAAAGTACTATGCTTTTAATATTAATTCATTAAAAACAGACTATATCAAAATTTCACTGTTGTATACAACAAAACCAGAAACAAAAGAACTATTAGGACAGTGGTTTCAGATTATAAAATTTGTAATTTGGAATACAGATTTAAACTATTTCAAGTTGCAAGTTTGTAAATCTAGTTATTTTATTATTATTTAATACAATATAAATATTTCTACATTATAAGAGATATTTTAAAGAGTTTAAACTGAAGATTTAGAGTTGAAAGCAAGATTTATCATATTATAATCAAAACATATTTTGGAAATGCACACTGGTCTTAAGATTTGCATTCACACAATGAATCTGCAAATGAGTGTGGAGCCTTCTTGGAACTGTGGAAAAGACTATACACTGGAGAAAGAGGATTTCGTATTCCTGTTCAACAGCCCTCTCTCAACAGAGGGAGAGGGTTACAGACATTATCTGTCTCCAGTCTACAACACAGTCCTTTCAGCAGTTCCAAGAAGGCTCCACACTCATTTGCACTACTCAGGTTATCCTGAGGTGACAGATAAACCTCCAAGTGGCTTCAAGGACTCTATAAAAAAATGCAGATGACCAGCTGTCTGCAAGGAGTATAAATCCTTCCATTCTCCACCATCCAGTCAGAGCTGAAGAAGTTTCTTGGATAAGAAGCAAAACATCTTCAAAAAAACCCAAGAAAGTCCAGCTGCCTCTTGAAAAAGACCTTTGGGACAAAGTTTGTACGAATTATATGTACATTAGTAAAAAATCGCATTAAACAAAAAAACCCAATTGCAAGCTGAACTTAAATAACAAATTAGAACAATTAAATGACTGGGTACCATGGTAGATAACAAAATGTTTAAGATATAATGGTAAAATGGCAGAGTGCTCTTTTCCAAGCAATGAACGTTTCTCAACAGAAATAAAAATGGCTCTAAATAAGAATAAATAAGTTCAGTTTGATCTGTGGAAAAGAGCTAGTATATTGAGAGAAATGCTTGAAAACTGAATAAAGTAGGATGCACTGTGACCAATACAAAAAGAAGTTGAGTTAATTGATCATACAGAAAGAATGAATGAATGGGAAATAAGCAAATATTTATTTACTGTATGTTACAGTATTTATAACCTGTCTAAGCAAGTCTGGGCTGTGTACAGTATCACCAAAAGGAAAACTAAACATGTCAATCAAAACAATATCAATAAAAAACAAAAAATAATCACAAAAACTCAAATAAAATCTAATGTAGGTACTCACAGCCAGTCAAAAGTACACTGAATAAATTTAACGTTTCCAGAATTGCAGCAAGGAGGGGGCCTGTCAGCTGTGCCTCCATTCAAAATCCAAGAAAGAAACCCTCAGACTCCATTAAAATAGAGAAAAGTACTTTTACTGGATTTGAAGTGATAGCAACAAAAGGAAACCAAGATCTGAGGCAAATAGGTGCGGAATTTACACATTGAAAGTTATATCAAGTCCTGTCCCCCAGGAGTCCAGACTGGTTATCTAATCTGAGGTGTGTATAATGTCACGTGGGGTACATCTTCAGGTGGTTTCTCATTCATCTGGTATGCCAAGATGGTTGACCTTGGCTTAGTAGAGATAAGTGTGTGCAGTTGCACAGTAAGTAGGAAAGCATCCCCTCCTTATTAGTTCACACAAGAACAACTTCGCACTCCAGCAATCTTCCCCCTCAATACCAAATTACCCCTCCCCCCCATTTCTATGGCAGCCGATAAGAGTCAAGTAGCAAAAGATGTCAGGAAAACTTCTTGGAGGCTGACAGGACCCCTATATTCTGGGAGAAAACATTCCACAATGTGGGAGTTATGACAAAGGCCTGCTTTGTCAGCCACAACCTGCAGGCATCATGAAGGCAGGGAACTTTTACCAGGCCCTCTCTTGATGAGCAGATTGGACAGGCAGATTCAGTTCTGGAAATGAGCCTCATATATCCTGGTATTATACCATTTTACAGCTTGACAGGTAATGGCCAGTACTTTTTTCAATTTTATATTATTTATACAAATAGCTCAAGGCGAAGAACATATCCAACGCATCTTCCTCCTATTGACCCCACAACAATAATTCTGTGAGGTAAGTTGGGCTGAAAAAGAATGATTGGCTCAAAGTCACCCAGCCAGTTTACATGGCTAAAGTGCGACTAGAATTCATGGTCTTCCACTTTCTAGCTGCTTCCTTAACCACTAGAAATGGTTCCAAAATATTTTTTCCTAAGGGAAAAAATGGACTCAGCAAGCTACAGACCAATCAGGCTGATATCAATACCTGGGAAGATTCTGTAAAAGATAATCAAGCAATGAATCTGCAAACACCTAGAAACAAGCAAAGCAATTACTAAAAGCCAACATAAGTTTGTCAAAAACAGATCTCTTTGACCAAGTGACAAAATTAGTGACCCAGCGAAATTCTTTGGATGTAATACACTTGGACTTTAGTAAGGCATTTGACAAAGTAGACCACAGCCTAATTTGGTAATATTGAAAAATGTGGTAGTTTGCATCATTACCAGATGGATTTGTAATTGGTTAACCAACCAACCCTCAACACGTCGTTCTTAATGGAACTACATCAACATGGGGGGGGAAGCATGCAGCGGACTACCACAAGGCTCTGTCTTAGTCCAGTACCCCTTCAACAATTTACATAAAGGGATAGAAGGAAACTCATCAAATCTTCAGGTGACACCAAGCTGGAGGAGGAATAGTCAGCACTTTAGAAGATAGAATCAAGATCCAGAAGAATATTGACAGCCTTGAAAACTAAGCCCTATCCAATAAAATGCAAACCAGTCTTGTAAAAAGGAAGATTTTACACTTAGGCAAGAAAAACCAACTGCACAGATATAGTGGAGGTGGTGCCTGGCTCAACAGCATTATAGGGAACTAGGAGTCCTAGTGGATAATCATTTAAGTATGAGCCAGAAGTGTTCCACAATGGTCAAAATGGCCAATAGAGTCCTAGTCTGCATCAACAGAGGGACAGTATTAAGATCACATGAAGTGTACTGCTTTATACTGCACTAGTAAGACCACATGTGGAATATTGTGTCCAGTTTTGGTCACCATGATACAAAAAACATTTGAGACTCTAGACAGAGTACAGAGAACACCAACTAAGATGATTAGGGGACAGGAGGCTAAACCATATGATGAACAATTGAAGGAACAATTGAAGGGTGATATGATAGCTGTCTTCCAGTACTTGAGAGGGGTGTCAGAGTGAAGAGGAGGTCGAGTTATTCTCTAAAGCACCTGAGGCAGGACAAGATGCAATGGGTAGAAGATCATTAAAGAGAGATCTAACCTAGAATTAAGGAGAAATTTCCTGTCAGTGAGAATAATCAGTGGAATGGTTTCTCTAGAAATTGAGGTGGAGGTTTTTAAGTACAGATTGGACTATTTGTCTGGAATGGTATAGATCTCCTGCTTAACAATGAGTTGGACTAGAAGATCGCTAGAGTCCCTTCCAACTCTATAACTTTAAACCTTTAAGCTAGAAGGCTATCAGCAATGAACATTTAAAACTAATACAGCTGTAATTCTATATTGGCACTACTTTTTGTATCAGTTACTGCTTCTGTATCATCTTTACAGCAATTTCATATAAATTAACCCAATCAAGTAATTTAAGGAATGAATTACTGAAAATATAAAGTGGAAATAGAGTAAGATAAAAATGAACATCAAGAAAGTGTGACAGAATGTGCACCTGGAGAACCAGAGGAAGGGAGTCTTGGCAAAACAGAACTTTCCCAGGGAGGATGCAGTACATCCCAGAAAGAAGCCCAAATTAAGAGACTGCCCAATCCTGAGCTAGATAGGGGTTCAGGGTAGCCACATCCGAGAATCACTCAGGAAAAAAAACCTGTTAAGGTAGTGTTACAGCTGTAATATTGGCAAGATCTATCCATTAGGTATAAGCAAATAAAGGATTTGATTCAATTAAGTTTTACTGTGTTGTCCTTAGGCTTGAGTTGACAGAGTCATGGCTAAATGAAGCTGATGAAGATCCTCAAAGGAATTAAGAAATCTAAAGCTTTCTTTGAAATTTTTTTGAAATTGGCTTTACTGAAATCCAAAGTTCACGTACAGGTATGCAATGTTCACGTCCATTGCAATCTCAATTTTAAAGATTCTGTATTGTAATATTCTGAATCCCATAATTCTTGCCTGACATGTACATTTATGTAAAATTATGTACTATTGTATCTATATACCATCTCAAATGCTTGTCAGTTCTATACTTTTAAATATAATACACAGTCAAGTGGCACTTCCAGTCATAATGAAAGCAACTATGTTAAGACAATAGTAGTAAAAATGCCTATAAGTACTTTTGTATTTGAAAAGGAAAGATGCACACTACAGAATTTATTTCTGAAAATAAAAATATTTATAGCTCTTTTGTTAATTTAATGATCATTTACAATAAAAGTAAATGTTATTTTAAAAAGCATTCATGAACATTTCTCCACAGAAAATAAACAGCTTCTTGTAACTTCAAATGGCCACTAAAGGAACTATTGTAACTCAAGGACTACCTGTATTCAGAAGTAAACCTCATACTCTCAAGATGTATTCTGGCCAAATATCTACAGGTCACATAAGTTTTACACAAACAATTAAATGAGCATGTCACACAACTCAGTGGAGCCACATCTTGCAAGTTGGGATTTCTAAAAAGTTTAAGCAGACTCCAACAAAAGAACATACAGTAACAGCAATATTCTTCATTACCAACAATAAACGGAAGTAAATCTCCTTCAAAAGGAACCCAAATCCTGCTACCTCTAAAATCCTGGTAATATCAGAGAAGCAGTTTGCCAGTCTCTTCTGTCGGGATGTTTTTTCCCCACTGTCCAAATTTAACCCGTAGCCCTCGACTTCCCATTAAATCCTACATCCAAGTACTGACCAGGTTCGACCTTAGCAGCCTAGGATTAAAAACACAGATGTTTCTAGGTAAGACAGTCTACTTCCTACAGAAGTATTTCATTCTTCTCAACCAAAAGATTGCTTGAATGAGAGCTGATGAAACACAAGAGGGAAAGAAAGAGCAAGGAAAATCCTAAAATGTTTGCGAAACGGAAAAGCCCTGAAGAAGAAAATGGGAAGGCCAATAACTGAATAGAGCAACTGTTCACTAAGCCAACGCGATGGAAAAAGGGGCAAAGGGATAAAGCACAATTCTCTCTCAGCCGACCAACGACAGAAGCAAAGCTCGATGGCGGCCTCCACTACACCAAGCCACAGGGCCGTGCTTGGCTACAACGGGGTGCCTCGGTTACACACCATACACCACGGAGATAGATGAGAAGGAGGCGGCCATTCAAATCCGACTCACCGCCTCTCCAACAGCACCATGAGCGGATCACCTTCACCACCAGCCCGCCAGGCTGGGGAGCCCGCCAGGCCGGGGAGGGGGCGTAGCGCAGCCCTCCAAATTCCCTCCGCGTCGCCCTTTCCCAGCTGTGGCCGCGGCTGCTGTAAATGCTGCTGCCCTGAAGAGACGTGGCAAAGAGGATTGATGCGTTCATCAGTGCGCGACGGCAAGGAGAAGGCGGTATCTGCAAACGCGCTGACCAACCGGGGAAAGGAAAAGGGGGAAGAGTTGCGGCAGCCATCTCGTGAGTGTCAAAAAACCCCGAAACGCGAGAAAGCGCGAGAGTCTGGTTGCGTTCTCATCATGCAAAATTACAACTAGCCAACCGTAATTTAACGTAGTCCGCCTTGAGTACTTAGTCCGTGATTCCTCGGAAGCCAAACGTATCCTTGCCTACCAGTACCTCAGAAACTTGTCTATATATATTTCACGCTCACACAGAGTATTTAAAATGTAGTAAGTCATAAATGCATAGCGGACCAGATACTTTCCCGAATCATAGAGGTGTTTATACCTCGGTTCTGAACGAAGGTGACAAGTTACATACAATCCTGTACTCGTCTCTGCGCGGCCAAGAATTCTCTCAAAGAACGACTGCGCGCCCGCGCACCCACAGACATTTTGGGGTCAAGGGAGGAACGACCGTTTCCCCTTGCAGTGAAGTCGCGATTCAGGTTTACTTTTTCAGTGAGGCTTTCGGATATAAAGCAAGCGGAATGTAATCGTTGAACTAATTCACCCCCAACATGGGGAGAACAGCTTTAGAAACGCAGTTAGAAAAGTGGTGTTAGCTTGTTGGAAGTTAAGTTCCAAGTGGGAAGAAAGGCACTGGAAACATGGAAACTGCTTGGAAGGATGGTTTAACGGTGGACAGCTGAACCACATAGGGTTTGAACTCCTGAGCAAAATGGAACACATGGATGAGAGAGGGAGAGAGATTTATACCCTCTGTTTGGCTTTGAACTGGTTTCCTGTTCCTGTAGCAAGAAATGTATCCTGAGTGGTTGTCAGACTCCCATGGGCCATGCAGGGGTAACTTTGTAGTTTTGTCTCGAGTCCCACCCAGACTTGGTTGAATCTTGCTGGGTAATGTAATCAAGGGGCTTTGGGCAATTCCTATTATGGCTTAATGGCTTTCTCCTTGTTTGGATTTGAGTGAGGGCTAATCCTATCACCCTGAAGCCAAACATCTTTTGTCTTGTAGATAGGATGGCTCAGTCTTTCTGGGGCTATTAACAAAGGTGGGGTTGCTTTCCAACAGCATGTTTCTCCTTTTCTCATCCAGGGAAGTACACTGCTCAAAAAAATAAAGGGAACACAAAAATAAGACATCCTAGATCTTTTTTTTTTTTAGAAAAAACTTTATTAATTTTACCTTTAAAAAAACAACACAACTACAAATTATGTACAACAAAAAGACAAACAGGCCTTAGCATAGGCCAAGAGGGAAAGAGAGGAAGGGTTGAGAGAGGAAAGAGGGAACAGTAAGGGAAGGGGAGGGTAGAATAGGGAAAACAATTAAAATAAAACCATATTTTTTGTGACTGTAAGATCCTTTCTTCTTCAAAAATATCGTCGGCGGTGCTTTTCTTTATCTCTGCTTCGGAAGCCCTCGGCCTTAATTTTCCTAGAAGTGATCTATCTTTGGTTTAGCCAATTATACCAAGGATTCCAATTATAATAGGTTGAGGATTCTTTATTTTTTAATGCTTGGGTTAGTTTATCCATTGTAAAATTTTCTGGATAACCATATGTTCAGTGGGGATGGTAATTTCCAGCACTGGGCGAATGCCAGTCTGGCCGCGGTTAAGATATGAATTGTAATATACTTCGATTTTTTGGATATTTGTTTATCAAAAATTCCTAGAAGGAAGGACTCTGGTTTGTACTCAATTTGTTCCTTGGTTATCTTCTCTAGCCAGCGCCTAATTTTTTGCCAATACTTCTGGGTTTCCTTGCATGACCACCACATATGGAAGAAGGTACCTTCCATATTTTGACATTTCCAACATTTGGAGCTCGTGTTGGGGTGCATCTTCGCCAATCTCGAAGGAGGCAGGTGCCACCTATAAAGCATTTTATATGAGTTTTCTTTATAAGCTGCTGATTTCGTGATCTTAATGTTCCTGTTCCAGATCCTTTCCCATTCTGCTAGGGTAATGCTCCGTCCCCACGTTTCTGCTCCACGCAATCATATTTCCTTTGACAATTTCTTGTTCTAGTTCTGTTTCTAATAAATGTTTGTAAAATTTAGATTTTTTTTTTTACTCGGTCCTAATAGAATTTTGTCTAAAGTCTGTAATTTATTGTAGATTCCAAATTCCTTAATGTCTTGTTTGTATCTACTATGAATTTGAAGGTAAACTGATCAATTATAAATCCTCGCTCTTGTAATTCTTGTCGTGTTTTCAGTTTTCCTTGTGGGTCTAATAAATTTTCGTATTTAATCATTTTAGTTATATCCAAATTATTAGGGTGTACTATCGCTTCCATTGGAGATAGCCAAATCAGTATTTTTAGATAGAGTTTTTTACGTACTTTTTTCCAATTGGTTAATAGAGAGTCCCTGATAAGATGCCTATGGAAATATGATTGCCTGGGTTTTCCAGTTTCCCACAGAAAGGCATGCCATCCTTTCTGCATATCGTGGCCTTCTAATATTAGTGTTCTTTTGTTGGTTAGATTCACCCATTCCTTTATCCATAATAGGGTGGCTGCCGTATGATATATTTCCCAGTTTGGCAGGGCTAACCCTCCTCTGCTTTTCAAATCTTGTAGGGCTTTTACGTTAATCCTAGCTTTTTTCCCCTGCCAAATAAATTTCAACGTTATCTTGTTTAATTCCATAAAAAATTTTTTATTTAATTTGATTGGAATTGTCTGGAATCAATATAGAAATTTTGGCAGAATATTCATCTTAATCAGAGCAATCCTGCCCAATAAGGAAAGTTGTAATTTACTCCAGGAATCTAAATCTTTCTTGGATTGTTGGAGAAGTTTGTCATAGTTGTTTTCTTTTAATGATTTGCTTTGTGGAGTTAGCCAAAATCCTAAGTATTTAATTTTTTTTGTCACCTGTATTCCCATTGTTGTCTCTAGTTCTTTATTCTGGTCTCCTGTTAAATTTTTAGTCATTAATTTCATTTTTTCCCTGTTAATTTTAAATCCTGCGACTTCTCCAAATCGTTCTAGTTCTTCTAATAAGTTATGTCCTTTTTCTATGGGCTCCTCCAGAGAAAAAACCAAATCATCAGCGAAGGCTTGTACTTTATACTCTTCTGATTTAATCCTCAGTCCTCTAATTCTCGAACGTCAAAAGAGATTCTAGGGCAAATATGAAAAGCAGGGGGGGAGAGAGGGCAACCCTGTCTTACCCCTTTTTCTATTTTTATCGGGCCAGTTTGTTCCCCATTTATTAGAATATTTGCCTGTTGGGTGTGGTAAATTGTAGTGACGATGTTTTCGAATCTGGTGCCGAGGTTCATATTGTATATTTTTTGTATTAAGAAATGCCAATTTAAATTGTCGGATGCTTTTCAGCGTCCAAAAACATAAATGCAAATTGTTTTTCCAGATGGGCTTCATAGAATTCTGAAATGTCTATCACTGTTCTTAAATTATTCTTAATTTGTCGAAATGGGAGAGATCCATTTTGATCTTCATGGATATGTGTGTTTAAAACCTGTTTTATTCTATTGGCTATTATAGAAGAGAATAGTTTGTAATCTGCATTCAGGAGCGAGATTGGTCTATAATTATTAATAAGTCTATGGTCTAGGTCCTCCTTCGGGATCAGCAAAATTAAAGCTCCCCTCCACGAGTCCGGTATCTTGGCTGCTAAGAGTACCTCATTGAATACTTCCAGCATCAGTGGTCCAATTTGTTCTATGATTGTTTTGTAAAGTTCTACAGGTATCCCGTCTGGTCCTGGCGCTTTATTGTTACTTTGCTTCTCTATTGCTGACTTCAGTTCGGACCATGTTATATTTTTGTTTAATAATTCTATCTCTTCCTCTCCAATTGCTTTATCATTCGCTTCCTCTAGGTATTTCATTATTTTGTCCTCACAGACTTCTTCCTTTTTGTATAATTTCCCGAAGTATTTAAAAGTGATCTCTTTTTTCTTCTCTATCTCCTCTTGCAAATTGCCCCTCTCGTCCATTAATTGGTGTATCAATCTTTTTTCTTTCGTTTTCTTAAGTTTGTGGGCTAACCATCTCCCTAGCTTGTTTGCATGCTCAAAGTAGATTTGTTTAGTCATTTTCAGACTAATCTCCAATTTTTCTTGTTCCAGTAAATTTAGTTTGTGTTTAGTTGTTATTAACTGGTTCTGTATTCTTTGGTTTTTGGGGTTCTTTTGTAGTTGGGTTTCTAAATCTTTAATTTCTTGTTGTAGGTTACTTTGTTGGGCATACTTTCTTTTGTTTCTCATAGCATTGTAAGAGATTGTTGTTCCTCTTATAAATGCTTTCATTGTGTCCCATATATTTTGTTTCGAAGTTAGTTCATTATTATTTTCCTTTAAGAAGAAGTTCAGTTCAGTATCCAAGCCATATCTATTCTTGTCCAAATTTTGTGTGGGTTAGAATAATAAGTAAACTGTTCTTTTTTTGGGGTTAGTTTTCTCCAGATATCTACCAGATTCAGTTCATTCATCATATCCTTACATGGCTTTGAAAATTCTCTTTTTCCTTTTTTGTTCTTACTCATATTACTATGATCCTTCCGGTAGTCAGCAATAGAGTTAAAATCGCCAATCAGACAAATATTGCCTTTTTCGAAGTCTATTATTTTTTGGTGGAGATGTTTGAAAAATTTACCTTGATCATCATTTGGGGCATAGATTACTACCAGTAAAAATGTAATGCTATTAATTGAGATTTGTACCACCAGAGTTCTTCCTTCAGGGTCCGCCCAAATTAACTCCGCTTTTAAGTCATCTCTCACATATATTGCAATACCTTTCTTTTTGTGTTTATCTGCTGGTGCTGTGAATAATTTTCCCAGTTTCGGACAATCTAAGAATTTCTCCTCACTTTTCCTAATGTGTGTTTCTTGTATGCAAATTATATCAACGTTTTGTTTTATTAGTTTGGTTAGAATCCTTTTCCTTTTAGTTCTTGAATTTAGGCCGTTTATATTGATGGAAAGAATTTTCCTTCCTTCCTCCATTTACCTAAGTCTGCCTCGCTTTTTGTCTCGTAACTATACGGCTCTCTTCTTGTGGTTGATATGGGATTGTTTCTTCTCTTTCTTGTTGTAAGTTGTCTTTCCCTTGAGTTTGGACGGGTCTTTCTTCTTTGTTCCTATGGCGGTTACGATCTTCCTGCATGTTCCTTTGGGTTTCCTCCCTAGTGTGTTGATCCTCCGTAGTTGTTAGCTGTTCTAGGAAGTCTTGTGCTTGTTCTATTGAATCTATTTTAATTTTTCTTCCCTTCCACGATATTAACATCCCTTCTGGAATTAGCCATTTGAATGAGATTTCTTTTTTGTTTAAATAATTAGCTAAAAATTTATATTCTTGCCTTATGGTCCTCACTTTTCTTGGAATCTGCTTAAGAACTATGATCTCTTTGCCCTTATATAATATTTTCTTGTCTCTGGCCATTCTAAGTATTAGATCTCTCACGCATCTTCTTGAAAAGCGGATATGGATCTCCCTTGGGCAATTGTGACGCCTTGCGTAACTGGTGTTCACCCTATAGACTTCGTCGAATTCTTTGAGTAAGTCATCTTTCTCTTTTTCAACTAGTTCAGCCAACAAACCTGCCATTAATTGCTCTAGTTCTTCATTTTTGGATTCCTCCACGTTTTGGAACCTTAGGTATGCCGCTGCTCTGTCCATCTCAAGTTGGACCAAGGAATCTTCCATTTCTCTATTAACATTTTAAAAGTCTTCCTCAGTCCTTTCTAAGTTCCTCTCCACTCGTTCTGTCCTCCTCTCTATTTCTTTTATTTTTATTTCAGTTCTTTCCATGGCCAATTGCATTGTCCCAACCTTATCTTCAACTTTCTGTATATCTGCTCTCATCTCCTCTTTTAATTTACCATTTCTTCCTTCAGTTCGCTAATATCGGCTCTGGTCTCATTGTGGTTCCTAATCATAATCTCCTGCATTCTAGACATTGATTCTTGCAGGGATAATAGTGTCGCTTGTAGATTAGCATTAGTGACGGTCAGTTGTTTTTCTCCTGTCGAGGTCTCTTCTATAGTTTTCTGCGTTGTTGGGGAGGCAGTTGCCAAAGTTGTCGTCAAGGTCTGGGTGTTCTTCCTTCCCGTTTTCAGGGCCGTGGTTGTTGTGGAAGTCATCTCTGATAAGATTTGTTTTTGCAATTGGACAATGTTAAGAATATTATCCCAAATCACCATTCGATGTAATAGCCCCTTAAGTGTGATTACAAGTCTATTTACTAAGGTTACACACCAAGTTATTTTAGATCTCTTTCTTCGGCCCAATTCGTCGTTTAGGCAATTTAAATTCCAATTCAATAAAATGTTATCAGATACTATACAATAGAATGTTATCAAATACTATGTATTATGTATTATGTATTATATATTATTCTCTATACTAAGTTTATATACCAGAGTTAATTATCTTTTACCCCAAATAAATCAATACCATATCAACTCAAACTTATTTAAAGCTAACAAACAACTCTAGAATTTCTCACTCTATATATACCTTTATCCTATAATGTATATTAATATTTATGGTTCCAATTAATCTGAGTCAACCCTATTTAAAAGACCTTAAAATTTTTGTATATTCAAGAGACTCTAATCAGTAAACCCTAATAACTATAATAAGCAATTTGCCTTTACACCTATATTTATAATTATTATAGAGAGAAAGAAAAGACTAAGAAAGAAAGGGAGAGAGAGAGTGCGGGAGGAAAAGGGTCTTTTAGATTTTGGGGAATCACTAGACACCTATCTGTGAGATTAGTTCCATAGAAAAACAAGTCTGAGTTGGGGCTGGCGTTTTAGTCTTATAGTCTTTCTTCCTGGGCGCACCAAAGGAGCAGGGGGAGGAAATGCTGACTAATTGCTATCAGCGCTCAGCAATCAGTCTTTACCAGGTTTCCTTCTGTCTCTTCCTTCTTCTTCTTCCCTCTTCTTCTTCCCTTCTGCCAGCAATTATCAGTCCACAGTCACTTTGGGTGTCCGCCTCAGATCGGTCACTTTAGAGATCAGCTTTGTAGGCAATATTGCTAGAAGGAAGAGGACCTTACATATAAAAGTCAGTGCGTCGCTCTCTCGCTCTCTACAGCTCGCTCTGCCCTCCTTCGCAGCTATAGTCCTCTCCTAGTCTTCTAGTCTTCTCAGGCGCTGGTCCCAGATGGCAATCCACTCCCGAGCCTCTTAAATTTTCCACCGCCTTCTTCTCTCCTCGACAATCTTCTTCCAAACGCTCCAATCCACACTTTCACTTTAAGTGTCGAGCCATTCTATCCGCGTTTATCCCTCTTTCACTTTTCAAACTGCTTTTCTAGCCGCTTGTCTCCAGCTTCCCACCACTGTTACTCACAATGAAACAGGGAAAGTCAGACCGATCTCTCTCACGGCTTTTGTAGTCCTTCCGCCCTTTTTTGCTCGGATCTTTCAGGCTGTCACTTTTCGCTTTGTCAGTTCAGTGACAGACCGGACTTTGGAGCCGCCATTAGCTGGTGGCTGGCTCAATCGCGCTGGTTTCAGAAGCTCTTCCTTCGTTGCTGGGGAGTTGCCTTCCCCCAAACAGCAACCCCGGGGTCCTCTATTCTGACACGAAGCTCTACGGGTTTCGTGTATCCACTGGGGATCCCTCCAAACGCGAGAAGAGGTGTTCGAAAGCCACAGCTGGGCTTCTCCACCTCTGGACGTCCCTGTCCTGCCACCGGAAGTCGACATCCTAGATCTAAATGAATGATCCTTATTAAATACTTTGTTCATTATATGTGCTGACAACAAAATCACACAAAAAATATCAATGGAAATCAAATTTAGCAACTCATGGAGGTCTGGATTTGGAGTTACACTCAAAATTAAAGTGGAAAAAAACACTACAGGCTGATCCAACTTTGATGTAATGTCCTTAAAACAAGTCAAAATGAGGCTCATGTGGCCTCCACGTGCCTGTATGACCTCCCTACAACGCCTGGGCATGCTCCTATGAGGTGGCGGATGGTCTTCTGAGGAATCTCCTCCCACACCTGGACTAAAGCATCCCCCAACTCCTGGACAGTCTGTGGCGCAACGTGGTGTTGGTGGATGGAACGAGACATGATGTCCCAGATGTGCTCAATTGAATTCAGGTCTGGGAAACGGGCGGGCCAGTCCATAGCATCAATGCCTTCGTCTTGCAGGAACTGCTGACACGAGGTCTAGCATTGTCTTGCATTAGGAGGAACCCAGGGCTAACCGCACCAGCATATGGTCTCACAAGGGGTCTGAGGATCTCATCTCGGTACCTAATGGCAATCAGGCTACCTCTGGCGAGCACATGGAGGGCTGTGCGGCCCCCTAAAGAAATGCCACCCCACACCATTACTGACCCACTACCAAACCGGTCATGCTGGAGGATGTTGCAGGCAGCAGAACGTTCTCCACGGCGTCTCCAAACCCCGTCACGTCTGTCACATGTGCTCAGTGTGAACCTGCTTTCATCTGTGAAGAGCACAGGGCGCCAGTGGCGAATCTGCCAATCTTGGTGTTCTCTAGCAAATGCCAAATGTCCTGCATGGTGTTGGGCTGTAAGCACAACCCCCACCTATGGACGTCGGGCCCTCATACCACCCTCATGGAGTCTGTTTCTGACCGTTTGAGCAGCCACATGCACATTTGTGGCCCACTGAAGGTCATTTTGCAGGGCTCTGGCAGTGCTCCTCCTGTCCCTCCTTCCACAAAGGCGGAGGTAGCGGTCCTGATGCTGGGTTGTTGCCTCCGGCCTCCTCCACGTCTCCTAATGTACTAGCCTGTCTCCTGGTAGCACCTCCATGCTCTGGACACTACGCTGACAGACACAGCAAGCCTTGCCACAGCTCTCATTGATGTGCCATCCTGGATGAGCTGCACTACCTGAGCCACTTTCAGAATTAGTCGCAACCCATGATGACAATGGGCTACAATATTGAAAACTGCCAAGCATGTTTTATAAACACTTTGTTGTGCTCAGAATTCCAGCAAATTAGGAATTTGTCCATCAGATGTATCTTTAATCTAAAGCATATAGTTCAACAATTTTATATTGAATTTAATGGAAAACTTCAATTTCTGAATATTCTTTTGCAAAAATCAAGGAATTGCAAAATAACTGACTGCAATAACTTCTGTACAGTATTACAGTACTTTCAGAAACTGATGCTATTATTTATGCTATTATTGCTATGATGCTATTATTTATACACATATTTCTATGGTTATATTTGCTTTTTTGTAGAAAATATTTTGTAGATTTTGTAGAAAATAGCAATCCAGAGTGAAATGCCATTTTCTAAAATTCAATTTCCAACTATATTTTGTACAAATGGAAAACAAAAGTTTGAAAAAGATTGATTTCAATATTTGAAAGGAAAAAGACTGAAAAAAAGCTGTATTTTTGACCATTGAAGAAAATTCAGAAAAAAATTGAAATGTATGATCCATTTCTCTCTTTAATTTATACTGTTGAAAAAAAACCATATATATATTTATCAAAACAATCCTTTGGTGATGAATACATTAATTCCATTTTGTGGTGTCAAGTTTCCAAGCACCTGTCAGGTATCGTAGTCGTATAAAAAGCAGGTCCCTTCCCATCTGCAACCAACTCCAGAAGGGAACCAACTTAGAACCTATAATTATTAAAAATAATAAAAAATATGTTATACATACATATAAAAGGCAATTATTTCAAAATCACTAATTTTAAATTTGCTCTGAAATATATTAAGACTTATAGTTCTAATGTGAAATGTATCCAAGAGGCACAAAATTATAATCTGGTGAAAATGGGCAATATTCAGTTGTATCAGTTTGGTAGCAGATTATTGTTCTCTGGTTTTCCCACTCCCTAGCACAATAGCCAGCACAAGTATAGAGGGTCTGGGAAGGGTGCATGGGTGGAGAAAACTACCCCAGGCCCAGTGGTGGGATTCATTTTTTTTTTTACTACCGGTTCTGTGGGCGTGGCTTGGTGAGCATGGAATGGCATAGCTTGGTGAGCATGGCTTGGTGGGCATGGCAGGGGAAGAATACTGCAAAATCTCCATTCCCACCCCACTCCAGGGGAAGGATACTGTAAAATCTCCATTCCCTCCCCACTCCTGGGGGAAGGTTATCACTGATTCTCTGAACTACTCAAAATTTCCACTATTGGTTTTCCAGAACTGATCAGAACCTGCTGAATACCACCTCTGCCCAGGCCCTTGCAATCTGCTCTGTCAGCTTTTCAGTTGACTTTCTGGGGAATGTACCAAACAGAATCCCAATGTAACCTATGTATTATATTAAGTATTATAAATGCAGGGGAAAGAGATAGATGTCATATTCCAATTAGTGTACAGGAGAAGTTTTGTTTAAAGAAGAAAGATAAATGGATAGCTGGAAATAGAACAGACAAAGAATAATAAACATTATGATTTGAATTGAGATGAGATAAATAAAATAAAACTAAGAAAGTTTAAAAGAGATGAGAAGCTATATAGAAAATTGAAAATGGTAATAAGATATGGAATGGTATATAAAATGAATATGAATTTGAATTTGTGTCTGTACGAAGAGTTGTAACCCAGGACTAAGCAACTTTCAGAAAAGATGTTTTTTATGTTTCTATGTTTTGTCTCTTTGGGTGTTTATGCTTGATTGAGTTAATAAAACCTTGGAGGAATGTTAGAAGAGGATAATTGAGAATAAAAGATAGAAGAGAATAAAACAAGTCAGAGGAAAATATAAGTATAATGAATAAAAATATATAAAACATATAAATATAGAAAAGAAATATAATTGAATAAAAGTAAAGGGAGAAATAATGAGAAATTTGAAAGGATATGTACCGTGTTTCTCACATAATAAGGCCGGGCCTTATTTTTTTTTGAGCCCCGAAAAAACGGCTAGGCCGTCTTTTCGGGGGTAACTTAATTTCCCCCCTTTCATCCTCATCTAGAGCGCCCCGCGGGCAGCCTCGCCACCAGCCGCTCCTAATGGGCGATCATGGCGAAGCGCAGAGAGCTCCCTACTCCCACCAAACACCTTTGCTGCAGACCCAAGACCTTTGGCACCTGCCGCTGTTGCTTTCCCTTCTGCCCATTCCGCTGCCGTTTGGAGTGCCGTTGGAGCTGCTGCCGCCGTTTGGAGCTGCCTCTGCCGTTTGGAGCCGCCGCCGCCGTTTGAAGCTGCCGCTTCCGTGTTTGGAGCACTGCCGCTGTTTGGAGCACCACCGCCACTCCAAAAACGGCGGCAGCTCCAAACACGGAAGCGGCAGCTCCAAACGTGACGGCGGCACTCCAA